AAAGGGCCCGAGCCCCTCGCCGCCTCCCGCCGCGTTTGCCCCGATTCGGAGGAGGGGTGCCTGTGGGGTGAGCAGGGTTGGCAGGCACGGAAAGAGCATCAGCCTTGCCGGCAGGAGGGCCGTGGCTCTCGCGTCCCCGCGGGAGGTGGGTGCTAGCTTTGTCACAGTTTACACTCCAGCGTCTGAGGGGAGGCTTTGCTCTGGGAAGAGTCCAGATCCGGAGCCAGCTCGGGGTCCTCGGGGTGGTGCAGAGCCACAAGCACCTGGTATGTGCCTGTGCCAAGAGTGGCCCCCACCAGAGGGGCCACCACCGGCACCCACCACCAGCCATTCCCGGCACTAGGAGAGAAGGACAGCGCGGGTGGCAGGGATGGCTCTGCTAGCCTCCCTCTCTCCGAGCCCCGAGCCTCCGGAGGCAGCTCCTGGAGTGCAGAGGCGGGCCCGGGCCAAGAAGGGAGGGCCTCCAGGAGCTATCGCTAGCCTCAGGGAATATCTGAGTCTGGACCTTTTCCTGGGGAGGTCGCTAATCCCAAGGAAGTAGTCAGACACACCCAAAACTACGTTTCTAAGTGTTACTGTGTGAAAACAAGGAGGGGCGAGGAGAGCAGGGGGCTGGGGAAGGAACAAAGTCTATGAGACCCAGAGCACTGGAGGGAGCCCGAGAAGGGCCACTGGCAGAGGGAGGAGAGTGCTGGCCCACACCGAGGAAGCCTCTCCCACCTGAAGACTTCAGGGCCCCAGCCGGCTATGTAGGTGAAGAGCCGTGGTCCCAGGTCCCGGGCAGGGTTGAGTGGAAACCCACAGTTGACACCCATGGAGAGTCCAATGACCAAGATCAGCAGCCCCACCACCACAGGCTCCAGACCAGCGGGCACACCCTTGTTCCGTCTGTCCAGGATAGCCAGGAGCCCCACAATCAGCATGGCGGTGCCTATGACCTGGGTAGACAGGCAAAGGGGACCTCGTCTGCCTCCCCACCCGCTCTCCACACCACCAGCAGGCAACCAGGGGCTCGGGAGCTCAGGAGACCCCCCCACCCACTCTACCGCTTTGGGGCTTCCGGGGTCTCCCTCTAACACCTACCTGATCCACAAAGCCGTTGCTCAGGGACAGGTACGGGGCAGGGTAGGTGGCAAAGATGGAGGCTGTCTCTTTGGGGCCTGTCACTGTCAGGTTCCCGGCCGTGTAGTTCTGCAAGGCATCTTTGAGAGGGACACTCGGGGTTTTAGCTTTGTGTGTCCAGAACCCTTCCAAGGCACCCTTGCCCACCCACAGTGCCTGGCTCTGTCCCGTTACCGTAGTAGAGGATGTAGGTGGCTCCGGAGGCACAGAAGGCAGCCAGCAGCTGCACCAGGCAGTAAATGGGGAGGTAGGCCCAGGGGAAGCGCCCCAGAAGGCACATGGCCAGCGAGAAAGCTGGATTCAGGTGGGCTCCTTCAAGGGTCAAGGGGAGAAAAGCAGCATCCATTCAGTGTCCCCGGTAGCACAGCTGCCCCTTCCCACAACTCTCAAGACGCCGGTTTCCATGACACAGCTGAGAGAATTAGGGCTCCAGCAGGCTTACTCAGGTGACAGGGAAGCCCGGATCTGAACCTACGTCTGGCTGCTGCTTCGGCCACAGCACCCTGTATCTCAAGGCTCGGGCCGAGCACTGAGGCCAGTGTGTGCTGAGGGTGAGCCCTGTGCTCAGGCTGTGCTTAACCTCAATGCCCTGCCCTAGGTGTCTGCCTGCGTGACCCAGGGCCAGCATGAGGAGGGGAATGGAGAAACACGGAAGGGCAAGGGCTAGGTGACGCAAAAGCATATCTCAGTCCAGGGCACCGGTCAAGCTCGAGGAGATAATGTCCATGAGTCACTGGAGGTTCTGCCCTGTCACCACCACTGGGTCCCACGCGGCCCAGCACATCCCACCCCTCGGTGCGCAGGCCTGACCCCGTCACCTGAAACATTGCCAGCCACGTAGATGGCTATTGTCACCGAGAGAGCGCCAGCCAGAAACATGGTGAAGAAGTTGCCTTTGGTTTCTCCGCTGGTGACAGCCTGGGCCACTGCCCCCTGGGTGAGGAGCTGGGGGGGAGAGGGGAGGTGAAGGACAGGAGACCCACCGGAGAGAAAAGGTAGGGGAGAGAGCAGGAGAGACCGACAGACCCGAGGGGCCAAAAGAAAGGACAGAGGCAGAAGGAAGAAGGGGAGAACAAGGAGAAGAGGAGGAAGAAGAAACGAAGGGAAGAAGGTGAGAGGTGAGGAAGGGCAAGAGCCAAAAATAGATGAGAAGAGAAGAGAGATTTGGAGAGAGGGAAGAGCTTGGGAGTCGGAAGGAAGTAGGGTGTCAGGAAACAGAAAACAGGACACTGGGAAGAGCCAGGAACCTGGGCCCACTTCCTCCCCACCCCATTGTCATGCCTACCATGAGAACAAATACACCCAGAAACTCTGCCAGGCACTGTCGGGCCAGGAGGCTGCGGATCCGGAGGTGGGCCCTGACGCTGGCCAGGGGCTCGGTGAGGGCCATGGCGGGACGCCCTGTCACTGTGCACTGCTGCCGCTGTCTGCATAGGCCGCAGCCACGACTGCCGGGGGGGGAGATAAGAAAGAGACTTTAAAACCAATTAGCTGAGCTAAAGAGCAGCTAATACCTGTGCACGTGTGAGGCCGGAGTGTAGGCGCGGGTCTGTGGGAAGCCTGCTGTCCAGGCGGAGCTTGGCGTTTGTCCCTCTTGTTTGGTCCTTCATCCCCGCTCTACACAAGTGCATCCTGGGTGTGGGACGTACCCTGCTTCGTGCGTTAGTTCTTGTGGGCCTGAAGACCACTGTGTGAAGTGTATTATTGCGCCCATGTACCGATGAGGATGCTGAGCCCTAGAGTTCCCTCAGGCCACACAGTTAGTGGATGAGTGAATTCAAATCCATCCCTCTCTCTCTCTCTCTCTCTTTTTCCTTTTGAGACAGGGTCTTGCTATGTAGTTCAGGCTGGTTTTGAATTCAGTATGTAGCCGGGCTGACCTCAAACTCATGGCAGTCCTGCCTCGGCCTCGAGTGCTGAGATTACAAGTGTGCACCAGCACGCCTGGCCCAAATCCATGTCTTCTGACCCTCCATCTAGTACTCCACAGTGCCTCGTGTGTGGAACCTGAAGCCTTTCCTAACCATTTGGAGAATTGAAGAACTCAACCGGCATCCAGAGAGACTGGGCTCAAGTCTGCAGACTCTTGGCAGGGAAGCCACACGCTGGATGCTTGTAGTTTTCACCTGGGTTGGAGAGTGCTGTGTCTGTGTCTGCCATGGCTTAGGACAAGGACACCAGCCCCAGCCCCGCTGTGGATTCCGGACACACAGCCAGACCTGTTTCCTCACATTTCTCGAGTCTGCCATAAGTCTCTCAGCTGTGAGTCAGCTTCTAGATGATGGGTAGCAGTCTGCCCTCCTAGAGCGTCTGATCTAACAGGAGGACAGCAGATAAGGTACAGTTGATGGCGTTCTTGAAGTCTGGGGCTGTGCTTTCTGGGACCTGTGGGCTCTCACACAGACCTCGCACCTCTGTGCAGCGCTTCCTCACTGGGCCTAGCAGATGCCACTCTGCCAGATGCCCTCCCCACACAGCTGCCCTGCAGTGGGCCAGTGCACTGCACCGCATAAAGTCGCCTCACCAGGTCACAGCCTCCGTGGGCTCCGTGTACAGTGGCTGCTTGGCGCAGGGTACCAGAGCTTGGCCTCTTGGCCTCTGTTTAGGGCAACTCTGAAGGGCCATTCCCTCTTCCAAGTTGCCCATGGGGTCTGCTGAGGCCGGCCGTTCTTACATCTTCAGCGTGTGCTAGTTCTGCCTTCCCAAGGTGCTCATGACCCTGACTCCGCAAACCTTGCTCGTGCGTATCTTCATCTTCCAGTCTTTAAGGAGATCGGCCAAGGGGAGCCCTGGGAGCATTTCCTAAAGTGGGGTTTGCACAGCGTATTGTTTCCCTGCTGACAACACATAGGTTCTGAGTGGCTCAGGGACTTGACAGCCCACACTAAGAAAGGAGCAGTCTTTCACATTGGTGACCATCACCGAATACCTTTTGAAGTTTTTAGAGAAAGTATCTGAATTAACTTTTCTTTTACTAATAGCCAAAGATACGAAGTTATACCATGGCCCCTTGTTAGAGCAGTTAGAGGGTCCAGGTAGTAATCGAAGTCCTGGCTCAGGTATGGTTCACAGCACATTTTCTGTGACTTTAGATACCCAGTTATCATTACCCAGTACCCTGACGTATTATTGAAATGGGAATCCTTTGGAGCTTCAGAAAACCCACGTTGGACCTAGCATGGTGGCATGTGTCTGTAATCCCAGCGCTCGGTAGACTGAGGCGGGAGGATCACCATGAGTTGGAGGTCAGCCTGAGCTACACAGTGACCTCAAGGCCAGCCTGAATGACATAGATCCTGTCTCAAACACACACACACACATTGGTCTCTTGACTCAGAGCCAGGTAATGAAGGCCACCAAGAAAATAAAAGCCAATGGGGGAGACTCAGGCCATCTCAAAAAACACAGGGTAGGGGCTAGGGATTTAGCTCAGTAGTACCGCCGCCTGCCTCACAAGCGCAAAGTCCCAAGTTCAAGCCCTGGTACAAAAAACAGAAAACACGGGAGAGAGTTTTGCTCCTGCAAAAACTGGTTAGGTCATGGTACAGTTACATAGTGAGACCCTTTCTTACAAAAAGATGTTCATTGCTACATTGACAAAATGTTTAGAGGTCCTGTGGTCTAGATATTCCCTTAAAAGTACAGGACTTGGGCCAGGGATTTGGTTCAGTGGTTCCTCCGCCTGCCTCGCAAGTGTGAGGACCTGAGTTTGATCCACGGCACCAGAAAAAAAAAAGTGCAGGACTGTGTACTACACTTCATCTTCCTACCACTGAGAAAGAAGCAGTGCTGGTCGTCTTAGGATTCCGCAGCACTGCATGTCATACTTGGGAATGTGACTGACTCCACTTGCCAGGCCATACTGAAGACTGTCAGGTTTGAGAAGGGCGAAGGAGAAATGGCCTCTGGTCACGTGACCCAGGGACCCCACACAACTGGAACATCTGCAGTAGGAGAGGAGGCTGTGTACCGGCAAGCTGACAGGAGAATCATAGCGTGGACTCTGGAGGTTCTGAGCAGATCCATTGCCCTCTGCCCCACAGAAATGCACCCTGTTGGAAAAGCAGCTCTTGGGAGGGTCCAGGTACCACAGCTCACCGGGCTCTGGTACAGACGCCAAGTGCCAAGTAGCCCACCACGAGCTGAGTTGCCAGATCTTCCTGGCATTAGGAATGGTGCATCCAACAGGACACATACTGGAAGGTGAAGTGGCATCCTTGGGATCAGGCATGCATGAAATGGGTCAGAACATGAGCACGCTTCAAAGCAAGTGGGCCAAAGTCCCATTCCCCCTCCAGAGCTACACCGACGTCCCTCGGAGCCTCGCATTGCCCGCTAAGGGATTCCTTAAACCAGCTGGTGGAGCAGGAGGCCTGAACTGCACCTGCAGGCGGGGTGACCTGGGGTGTGCTGCACTGACACCCTCTCCAGAGTGGCCCTGAGACAGCGTGGACAGGAAGACCTCTGCAGGACAGGCTGGAGAGTGGAGCTGGTCGCTCGCTGTGGGAGAGAACGACCGGGAGGCAGAAACACGCACTGTCATGCTTGCTGGCAGTGGCAGACGCCTTTGTTGTTTGGCCAGTGGTTGAAAAGGAAGAGGGGAGCTCTGAGGGTAGCGTGTCATGCCCACTGAGGAGGCACTGGGCAAGCAGACGGAATGATGCAGTGTGGCCTGCCCCAGCCCCTCAGTTCTGCACAGGGGGGCAGTGAGTGGAGTGGGAACAGGCTGTGCAGGACAGCAGCAGCAGTGCCCCACTCACCAGTGCAGAGCCCAACACACCGCTCCCCTCGAGAAGCCGCTGCCACGCATCAAGCTGAGGATGGGAGACCTCACAATGCAGTACCACTGGTGAGTGAGCCCAGGGAGCCCTAAGCTACACTCCTCCCTCTTCGGGGGTTTGTGTTGGGGGTGGGCCTTACTGCGTAGTCCAGGCCGACCTCAAACTCGCTGTGTATCCCGGACTGGCCTCAAACTCATGACCCTCTTCCCCCAGCCTCCCTAGTAGACGAGATTCCAGTCTTGACTGGAATTAACAAGTGTTTTGATTAGAGTCGTTTCCTGATATCCGTAAGAGATTAGTTCCCGGACTCACTGCCAATACCAAAATCTGTGGGTTCTCAAGTCATTTATATAAAACAACATGGGAAGGGGTGTGTGGCTCAGTGCTAGAGCACTTAAGTAGTATGCTTGAGGCTGTGGGTTTAATTTCCAGTAAGAGAGAGAAGATGCATAAAACCTACATATACCTGTAATCTCAGCACTCAGAAAGCTGAGGCAGGAGGATCTCAAGTTTGAGCCCAATATATTTAGAAACTTAATGAGACTTCATCTCAAAAAGGCTAGGGATATAGCTTATTGCAGAGATCCTGGGTTCAATCCCCTGTTACCTCCCCCAATATACTTCCGCCCATATCTTTAAATCATTTAGGTAATGATGACAAGCCCATGCATATGAGCAGTTTTGTTACGTGAGATTGGTTGAGCCTAAGGATGGAGTGTCACGAGCCGCGACGTCAGGATCCTGCCAGCAGGTCCTAAACCTGAAAGGACGAGGACAGAGAGACGGGAGGCACTTTTCTTCTCAAGTTACTTGCTTGCTTTATTACAGAACCTTTTCCTTTTATACTCTCCAGCTGTACGGGAGCGAAAGTACCGCCCACACATTCCAGAAGGAAGCAATAACAATTATTATGAGTTACATCTGCTAGGCAATAGATCAGATCACCAGCTGAACTAGCCCGTTGCTATGGGTGACAGCACGTCCACACTGTTCAGGTGAATCACAGGTCAATATGGCTGTGCTCTCCATAATTCGCCCGTTTCTCTTAGAGGGTACCAGACATATGTCAAAGAGCTCCTGTCTTAGGTGGCAGGGATGTCCTTTCTCCTTACCTGTCATCAGCGAAGAGGGCTTATGTCCCTCTTGCCTGTCTTAGGTTGGTAGAAAGGAGGCCCTGACCTTACCCATCTCTGGATGCTCCACGGAGAGGGAATTATGTACGGTGGGCTTGTGCCAAATAGATTGCCACCTGAGATGCGTCATCCTTTACTGACACTTGTACAGCCATAGCAAATCGAAACACAAAAGATTGATACATTCTTGTCATCTTGCGATACATATAACAATTACAAATACGAAAAATTATCAAAATTACAATGATCACCAATACAGGAATAAATATTACAGAAAAATACTATTTAGCAGTAGTACTGACAAACAGAAAATCCCACCATCTGTGATTTGAATCTTGAAAGAGAGGGGATTCCCCCCTAACTTTTCTAAGGTGAATCTATTTTCCAAAGTTCTGCAGACAAACTTAAGTCCATGGAATATTCGAGTGACCAGTCTAAAACTTTTGTGATGTCTCATTAAATCCTTGTTCTGGATA